GCATGGCACAGTGGCTGCAGGGTTGCCCCAACTCCTCCACTCACCACACGGGCAGTGGGAGCCGGAGCAGTCCAGCAGCCTGCTCCACTCCACCCTCTCCCAGCTGCTGCGTCCTGCTTCACCGCGGGTGGGGCACTCTGCTTCCTGCCGCCAGGGAGAAGCTGAGCACAACGGGCCAGGAGGGCAGTGTGGTGGGGTGGAGCAGGCTGCTGGGCCACTCTGGCTCATGCCACCTGCATGGGCTCTTCTGACTCGTTGGGTAACCATGCGCAAATTACTTTCACTCTCTAATTTTCCCTGCCTGCAAAGTGGGTGTAATATCTACCTCAAATGGCTCTGGGTGACACTTAATTCTTTAAACAGTTTGGGCCTGATCCAAATGTCGGTGGAAGCCCTCCCACTGAGCTCAGATGAGAGATGTTGGACAGTTGCCAGGTAGTATATCATATTTGTGTTTGTTTTCTTTGTAATAAAGGTTCCATATGGAAAATGAACGTGTGTCCCTGGGACATAGCAGATAAGGCTTATAAAGAAAGTCCTGATGAGCATGTGCCCTCCAGCCTGTTCTAAAACTAAGTCTGCACACTGTGTAGAGTCCAAAACTCCTCTCTCTCCTGACTTCATTAACAAAAAGCAGTAAGAAAGCTCAGTTTAGGCTGAAACCTTCTCCCCTGGCTTGGCTGCTTTTAGGATTCCTCTCCCCTCTTTGTAGTGCTCCTCCCACCTGATTTTTATCCAGGCATAGCCATGATCTGCCTGCCTCAGAAAACAGGCAGAATTTACTTAACCCTTTCTGAGCAGGATCAACTCCTAATGAGGTTATGTAAAGGCATAACGAAACTAAGGGGCCAGGAATTGAAGGTAAATGGATTCATGCTAGGGGTTTTAAATTGCGGTTAATCAGCTAATCGAGTAGTTGATGGAATTTCCATCAACTACTCAATTAGTTGATGGGGGGGGGGGGGGGGGGGGGGTTGGAGGACTGCAGAGCTGCAGTGGGATTAGCTCCTGGCCCGAGAGCTAACCACATTGTGGCTCTGCTTTTTAAATGTATTAAGACTAGGCTCTTAATACTTTTAAAAGGCAGAGGGGTAACGACAAGCGGTCAAAGGCTGCACTTCCGGGGTAGGGTGTGGGGTCTGGGATGGAGATTGGGTGCAGGGATTTTGGGATAGGGGACTGGTGTGCAGGAAGAATGTGGGGTCTGCAAGGGAGTTTGGGTGAAGGAGGAGGTTGTGATGTGGGGCAGGGGATTGGGGTGCAGGGTCCAGGAGGGCGTAAGGATGCAGAGAGAATTCTGGCCTGGAGGAGGGGCTCTAAAAGGGGGTGCAGAGTCTGGGAGGCAGTTGGTGAAGGGGAAAAGGGGGTGCAGACTGCAGAGGGTTTGGGTGGTGACCTGGGGTAGGGGAATGGGTGCAGGGTCAGGGAGGGAATATGGGTGCAGGAGAGGATTCTGGCCTGGGGGAGGATGTAGGAGGTGGTGCATGGTCTGGGAGGGAGTTATCACCTTGGAGAAGGGGGGCAAGGGGTACAGAGGATTTGGGTGGTTGCCTGAGGCAGGAAGTTGTGGGGAGAGAGGAGGTAGGGTGCCAGAGGTAGGCTCTGGCTAGGAAACGTTTACCTAGATGGCTTTCAGCTAGCAACCCTGCAGGAAGCTAAGGCAGGCTCTCTGCTGAGGTCTGTTAGCTGGCTGCTCCACGTGAGTCTGCTGTGTGCCTGGAAGGAAGGAAGGAGAGAGGCTTTACATGCTACCCCTGCCCCCAACAAAATTTCTCAGCCCCTATTGTCCAGAAACTGACCAATGGGAGCTGAGAGATTTTGCTGTGGAGCAGATGCAGCGTGCAAAGCCTCCCGCCTCCCACCCCAGCTGTCCAGAATGGAGAGCAGCCCATTGCTTAAAGCACGAGCTGCTCTCTTCCTCAGGGTGCTGGCGAGGCAGCTGCAGGCTGGATCCGGTAGCCTGGTGGGCCAGATCCAGGCTGCTGAGCCTCTTGCCCACCCCTGGACTAGATGATGATAACGGTGTTTTCTCACCTTACAATCTATTAATAATAGAATCGGCACATTCCCAACAGGGCTAGCACATTACACATCTGTCGCTCTTTATGGAAGGTCAGCATAGCAGACCTTCTTAAAGTATACGTGAGGCAAGTTTGCAAACTGGCATACAGTTCAGACAGTAACTTTTCAAACAATGATCTGTTTAGTCTCTGTGTATCCCAGAATTAAGCTATGGTATATCTACAAAGGGGCCCAGGGTAGACAGAAAAGTTTTATTTGGATTTTGTCTTTGGATCCTTCTTGTTGGAAATTTGGTTAGAAGCTAAAGCTGTGTGTTGGCCTACAACCTCCTAATAACTTTCCTCATTTGTTGGGCATTCAGAAAAATTAATGATTGGCATAATATGTAACACCTTGGAATGAGTGAGCACATGCTTCTCAAGGTGATTGCATATTTTTCTTGCACTCCTTCTGTCCAGCTGAAGAGACTAATGCCAGCCAAGCAAAATAGCTACCATTACAAATGGACTAATGCCAGCCCATCTGCAAGGGTTTGCACAAGCAATGCATAATCAGCTACTTAGCTTCAGTTATGGAAAATCATTTTCCAAAATACTGCCCTTTTTCAATTTGCATGATGGGGATTTAAGGTAGAATGTTAGGGTTGGGGGGATGAGGGGGTGAGGTTGTCAGACTTGGGGGTTAATTGGAAGATGTCTCAGTGCGCTTTTTCTTGTTTGTTTCCATATCTATACCTTATTCCTCCTTTATGGCTTCTAAAACGAGGCAGAAAGATTACTTCTTGCGCCCTCTCGTTTCTTCTTTAAAAAATGTTATGAGAACAGGAGGGCCTGCATGGCGTTTCCTATGATTATCATGTTGCCCACTATATAAATAACTGATGGGAAATAAAAGAATAGTTACATTTCCCCCACACCACTTGTTAGTTAGTTATTGGAAAATAACCCACATTTATACTCCTCTTGAGCTGGTTTACAAATAAAGTACTGCTGGGCTTAATCTTTTAAATAATCACCATGAGCTGTGAGAACCAAAACAAGTTTACTAATTGTGCCTGCCAGTGGTGCCTACCTGTGGTGCACCCTTTTCCCCTTAGCATTGTCTGAAAAGCAAGTCAAAGATTAATCCATGTTATAACAGGAATTAGATGTTATCAATGGCTTGGCTGGGGAGCCAGATAGGGCATACTACGTGGAATACATAAGTGATATACCCACATGCTTCGGTGGGGTGATCAAGCAGGAGGGCAAGTACCTGTAGCACTCTACTTATAATTTTCTCATAACAGATGCATGCCCGGGATTATGTGTTTGGTACTTTTTTAAGTTTCTGTATTTGACTTTGAGAGCAAAAAGCCTGGCAGATCAGAACCAGTTGTTTGTTGCCCCGTAATTGCATGAACAATGGGAAGTTCCATGGCTCCTTAAAAAATTTGGGCATAAGGTTTCATGGGTTAGATGCATGGGCATTGTTGTGTTTACAGATACCAACTAACACAGCTACCCCTCTGAGACATAAAATTGCATGAATTAGCGTTTCTCTCATTCATGTCCTTTATTCAAGTGAAAACAGTTTTTTAACAAATCAGGAAATCTCTGTATTTTTCCAACATGAATATTTGAGGTTTACTGATTTGTCAGAGGAATTTGGGAAGATCTTAAAGACAGGCAGGCAAGAAAGGCAGTTTTCTAGATAGCAGATAACACCCTAGCATTCCCCTCCATAGTTCTTTTCTGTCACATAGGCTATGTCTACACAGCAGCGTTATTTCAGAATAACTGATGTTATTCCAAAATAACAAAGAGCGTGTCTACACAGCAAGCCTTTATTTCGAAATAATGGAGAGCTGGAGGACTTCTTACTCCGACTTCTGTAATCCTCATTTAATGAGGAGTAAGGGAAGTCAAAGGAAGAGTGACTTCCTGCTGTGTAGACAGTGCCAAAAGCTGAATTAAGCTATTTTGACTTGAGCTATGCAATGGACGTAGCTCAAGTTACGTAGCTTAATTCGACTTTTGCCCTGCTTTGTAGACGTGCCCATAAGGAAAATTTGTCACTACTTAGGCTCCCGGGGAGAGGCATAAGAATCTTGTGCAAAAAGGAGTTTTTGCACAAAAAGGAAACGTCCACACCACTTGTTTTTGCGCAAAAATGGACCGAAAGAGATTATGCAAATGAAGCATGAGAAAATGCTAATCCGTGCTTCGTTTGCATTGTCTCTTTCGGCAAAACTCATAGTGTAGCTATAGCCAGTTAAAGCAGAGCTCCTTTAATAACAAAAAGGAAAGGAGACCTCACTAAAATGAAGCTGGCACAAGGATATTCTTAAAATTGTGCAGATTGATTTAAACATTTATTTTACCTGCTTACTATTGCTCTAAGCTAAGTTATACAACCTCATATTGCATTGAATTCCTTGCCATTTAGGCTCGAGAATGTGTTTATTTAAAGAAATATGGGATGTAGTTATCTATTTACTCAGAAATGTATGAAATAAGGACTTCAAAAGGGTACTTCAAGTGTAAGTTCTGAAAAGGCAAAACAGCTAAGCTTGAAAGACAAATATGCAGTATACTTCTGAATAGAGCCATGCACACAGAGCTCAAGTTCATTAAATCAATTACTGCAATGATTTATGACTTTGCTTTGTCCTAACAAGAACACTTCTTAATTGCACTCAATCCACCCACATATTTGGAACCCATTTTCAACATGTCATTTGAAAAACGATTTTAACATGTATCTTATGATGATGGTGGTTTGTGGTTATTTGCAGTGAGCAGTCGTCATTCTAGATTTTAGTTCACTTCTGACAGAGCACCCAAACTCTGTGTTGCTTACTGAGAGTATTTCCCCACAACTGACCTACAAATCACCATTTGGTGGCTTTTGTTTTTGTGTTGTTTTGGGGTTGTTGTTTTTTTGAGTGATCTGGTAGAGTCTACAATAAGTAACCCATTTCTACTCATTTGTTATAGACTACAGTAATTGACTATGTGAAGCCCTCCGATCTCAAGAAGGACATGAATGAGACCTTCAAGGAGAAGTTCCCTCACATCAAGTTAACCCTCAGTAAAATAAGAAGGTATGGTGCAGAATGAAATGCGTTTTAAGCCTGTCACAGCCTGCAACTGGACTCACATTTTAATGACATCGTTGTTGCCATTGTTACATTAAGTAAATCACAATAATAATTGATTTTCAGAAACAACAACCTTCAAAGGCACAGAATGCTTGTTTTGACTCAGGAGCTGAGTAAATTAGAGAGGGACGTCCGAGAATCTGTTTCTGGGCATAAAATTCTTGCCAGTTACATAAAAATAAGAAGCCCTTACAGCAGGAGTAGGCAATAATTTTACAAGGGGGCACTTACTCTTAACCATTTTATAGATAGCGTTTCTCTTCTGTTCAGTGTTGCAGGGAAGATGTAACATGGAATTGGTGCTTATCTCGCTGTTTCCAACACAGTAGGCTGCAATGATGACTTCATGGTCAGATGCAGCTGAAGGAGCTGCTCATTTAAAAAAGGAAACACTTTCATTTGAACCTTCAAATTGTTGTTATTTTCAAGTCCCCAGAGAGCGTACTTGATGCTTTACAGAAGTAAATAGGGAAGCCATACTGGAGTAGTGTAAAGAGCTTACCAATTAAATTTGACAGGATACAAAATGTGTCAGACAGAAAAGGGCGAAGAAGAGAGGAAAGGGCGGTGATTACAATAATTTGATCACAGCTATTCAGTAAGGCATATGTATCTGAATGGTTCTGCTAAATCATGGTTAGTGAAGGCTTTTTACTTGCTTCTCATCACTGAAACTTCAGAGTCAATTGAGGAATTTGAATTATATTAAATCATAGCAAATAGAACATAGAAGAATACCATCAATGTAAATTGCACCCCCACTATCCACCCCATTCTTGTTTGTTGCTTACAAAAGTCCATCATAGGAAAGTTGTTTTAAAATAAAGTGTCTCTTGCTTCAGTCTGTGAATTCTGGGTCATCTCACATAACATTGCCTCTGTGTTTTCTTTCCTCAGCCTAAAGAGGGAGATGCGCAAACTAGCTCAAGAAGAGTGTGGTTTTGAGGAACCCACTGTGGCCATGGCCTTTGTCTACTTTGAGAAGCTTGCTCTCAAAGGGAAACTAAACAAGCAGAACAGAAAGCTTTGTGCTGGAGCATGCGTTCTTCTAGCAGCCAAAATCGGCAGTGACCTCAGAAAACATGAAGTTAAACATCTTATAGATGTAAGTATCCTCTGACCACTAATGTTTTCCAATGCCGAAGTTCCCAAACTGTGATTCTCAGTGCTGGATAATAACATAGTCTTAGTGGTTCTCAAAACTTAGAGCTGCTAAATTAGATTCAAAGACAACTAAGTCTGTCCTTAATATATTTTGTGCAATTATAATAGTTGCACCGGGCAAATTACTTGATCACTAGGAGAAAAGAGCTGGTCAGTGCAGTCACAACTGGCTGGAAAGATTAATTAATGCCAATACATGGCTGGGAGGTCTCAACAAGACACTAACCCAATATGGTTTGCCTGATAAAGCTTCAGAGTCCCCCTATGTCCTATATCTCTGGTTTCATTCAGAAAATTAAATTGTGATTGAGTGCTAGTTTCATCATTGCACTTCATATGTAATTCACCATTTCCAGAGTAGAATATTCTGTCTTCTGACTCTTTCCATAGCTAGGTTTTCATTAAATACGAGAAGGACGAAAATGTTCTGAAGCTCTGATCCAGCAATTACTTAAATCTGAGGCCATGTCTTTACTTGCGCACTACAGATTGATTTTCTGGCATTCGATTTAGTGGGTCTAGTTATGTCCTGCTAAATCGAAAACTGAAGTTGGCTCTGTTCATCGCCAGTACTCCTTGCACTCATGAGCACATTGAACTCGTTTGGCAACCTCTTGAGTTAGAACAGCCTCTAGGGAGCTGAAAGAAGGATTGCTGATGCAGCTAAAGATCTAGTCTGGGACAACTACTCTGGTGCTCTGACTGAGTAGGTACTGAGCATCCCTTCAGACATGGTTGTTCACTGTCATCAGAGAGTCAAAGTCCTACCAAAAAGTCAACAAAAATGAGGTGTACGGGTTCTTTCAAAAAATGATTTTTTTTTCCAAAAGAACCCCGTCTAAACTGCAGTTTCTTTTTCGAAAAACCCTTTTTGCTGAGGGCCCTGCGTGTGAATAGGTGCAATTAATAAATCATATGGCAAGATGTGGTTAGGAAAGGCACCTACATTTGTGCCACATTTTGAAAGAAAGTATGTGAAAGCGGTTGTGTCTTACCTCCCTAAGAAACCTGACTTGATAGTAGTCTCTGCAAGAAAACCAGATTTTGCTTTTCTGCTAAAAGAAAGAAATGGAATGAATGAAAATACCACTGATGCACCATCTATGCCTTATTATAAAAACCTGTTCAGGTGAGTTTATGAAGTGAACAAACAGCCTTTTTTAGTAAGAAATTACAAGGGTTTGTTGGTTCTGATAGCTGGTCACTTGCTGACCAATTTGGAGCTTAACATGTACAATTATGAGCTGGTATGTGGCATGTTCAGATCAGTTTAGTGATGTTCCTATTAGGCACAGGTCCAAGTGATAGATGACACAGAGCCCCATTGCCTCAGGAACAAGTCTGGGAGGCATTGTGAATGCTCAAGGGGAGCCAGTAGCTGCACTCCTTCAAAGGGCACAGTTTGCTCTTCCGCTCATGGCCAGCCAGCTCTTTCAACCAGTACAGAGAAGAAACAGGCCTTTGGCCCTTCTCCCTCCTTTGTCTCTCTTGGAATGGCTTGTGTCTGCTTATGCATTCCCCGAGGAGCAGTCCCTGCACTCGGGAGAGCAAAGAGAATTAAGTTATTGATGGGCTCCGTACTGGTGGCACAGCTCCTGGAACGCTCCCATCATGCAGAGACCAACCCCAGTTGGTCCCATGGCTAGCAAGATCCAATATTAGGAAATGCAAATGCCCCAGCTCTCTCTCTCCAGTCTCTAGACTTCATGAATAGGCAGTAAGTTTGAATAAGAGCAGAATGTTTACAGGTAGATATTGTGAGTACTGTCAGCAGTGAGATGATACATGAAACTGGGTCCTAAATGCACTGAGACTTTTCTTTAAAAAAACAAAAACCAAAAAAAAAACCCTTGGCTGTGTTACAGAAACTGGAAGAGAAGTTCCGACTGAACAGGCGAGAGCTGATAGCCTTCGAATTTCCAGTGTTAGTGGCCTTGGAATTTGCTCTCCATCTGCCCGAACACGAAGTGATGCCACATTATAGACGTTTGATCCGGAATTCCTAGCACAGGCTACCCTTCGAAGAAGGGGTCTTAAGACTGTTTCTGTTCAGCTTTATCAAGCTGCTGTTACTACTGGAAATGCAAAAATAGGACTCAATACCAAACTTCTCTCCCTTCAAATACCCCATTTTTCCAGCAACATATTGGGAACACTGCATTGAATTTCCTAAGACTCTCAGACTAACTGAATTCTTGTAGTGTTAACTACTCAGAGCATGTGAACAACGAGATGCATATTGATGAAGAACTAACAGTAGATGCCAGAACTGGGGGAAACAGACTCTTACCATGGGGACCAAAGCAGTAAAATTAGTTACTCATATCAGTCATATAAGAACAAAATTAAAATGGTAGCCTCCATTCCCATCCATCTTACAATCACCTGTACACTTTGTAAGTTAGTCAAATGCATTCTTGTAGTGTTCTGTAGAGACTTGCTCTGACTTACAAAACAATTTTATTAACATTGTGGAAAAGCTTTTAAAATGGTATCTTCACTGTGTCGAAAAGAGCGTGCCAATTTATTTTTGTACCTGCTATTGGAAGTGCACTTTTTCCTGTAGGATGCCTGTGTGTATGAGACATTGATTTGATTTTGGTCCACGTGGGCTGGTTTGGCTATTTAAGAGGATATCATTTACTGATGCTGAAGACCAAGGAGACTCTCCGTGTTTACTTCTTGACAACATAACTACTGGAAAAGTAGTAAATGGGATCATTTTTGGACACTTGTTTTTTATCTCTGATTTTTCAACATCATTTATCTTTCTGAAGATTACACTACTACTGCAAGAGATGAATCAGCAGCTGACCATATGTTTTCTGTCTTCTCTGTGATAATGATGAAAGTATTTAGTTTGCAATTTATATGTAATAGTTTTTAAATGTCTTGTGTTACGCTACATTCATATTTTTAACCTTCGCACTTTTCCCACTGTGGAGATGGTTAGACTTGCACTTTGTAGTATTTCTGTGCTCTATGTTAGAGTGCATACGCAGCACATTAACTGTGCTACATCTTAAACAGTATTTTATAAAATCAAGAGTAGGGCTGAGGAGTATAATTGGTGTCTTAAGGCTTCAATATGGGAGACGCCTCATATTGGTAAATTTTAATTTTTAAAAATAATTGTGCAAAATTTAATCAATGGCCATTTAAATTGTTATGTATGGTCCAGTACCTTTATAGACATTGCAGTACTGGAGTTTTAACAATTTGTTTCCTGCAATTTACATGGTTCTGGCTGGATAACCCGAAAAACTGGACAGAATCATTCTGGCTCTCCAGCATTATATATGCTATGCTCATATGCTGAAGGACATGTATTAGAGTAAAGAATTAAATTATTTTTATATAATCTATCTATAACTGATGTCCAACCTTCTCTAATGCTGATCCACTTGATTCCCAACATGCTTGAAACAAACTTCAATAAAATCAAATACTTAACCTTCATGGTGTATAAAAATTAATCTGAAAACAAATCTCAGGTAGGAAACTCCAACTGCAGCCTTATCTCTATGTTTGAGAGGGTTCATGATATGGAAATGGCTCAAGAGTGAGACAAACAAATATATAAACACACACTAATCTTTATTTCAGTTTTATTTTAACCGCTTTGATGTCTTCCTCAGTTATACCAGGAATCACCTCAGTTAAAGCGCCTAACAAAAATGTCAAGCCAGTTTCTTTTGCGGCACTACTCCTTTAATCCTCACGTGGTGACAAAGATTGTCTGGAAAGGTCATGGAAAAGAGTCAGGATGAATGGGAATTTTATGCAGTGTTGTAGCTGCTTTCCCATTTTAAAAAAGAGCTACTTGCACATGTCAATGCTACAATTAAACCTCATTCCTCTCTGTGTATACAGTTTATAAAACAAAAGTTTTAGATGTCAACCTGATATTGGGGGATGGGGAATAGAGACCGAGAAATGGTGCCTCCAAGGATTTGCTCCAGCATTGCTGACTGGCAGCATTCCTTATTCACTGGAAAGACATGGCATGATGTTCTCCAATCAGACGTGCTGCTGTGCCTTGATTCTGCCAGCTGGCTCCAGTCTTGTAAGGAGGTAAACAACTGAAGGATGCAAAAGGCTCGTGCAACATTTATTTGGGATTTTTACATTTCAATACCTTGCCTGCTTCATCGTGTAGCAGAAGGCCCATATCACGTGAACAGGCTCATAAACCAAAACACAGCTGGCATGTCTCAGTTTAGTCCTTCTAGTCTTGTCCATGTCCTTCTAATTTAAATCATGAATACACATTCCAGATTTTTTTCATTAAAGAGTTTTGGTTTTAATAATATGGTCTAAGTCTAGAAGGAACTGTTGCCTGTGTATAAATACTTCATTTGCTTGAGTTTGGTTTTGATATTGCTGTAGTTTGACAGGGGGAAAGGTATCATCATTGAAAAATACTGATTGAAGGATGACAGCAGTCATTAGAAAGGTTATTGAATAATATCTCATGTCTGTTGTCTTCTGTAATGCTACATAGTTCTGATCTACAATTTACATAGGTGTCAGGGATGAAATCCGATTGCTTAGAGACTTCCTGCTTTTATTTGGAATAATGTTCAGCTACAGTTTGAATATTGAATAAATACTTAAAAGATTAAAATGTTGCACTGGTCACATGGAAGAATATAAAGCCATATTGATACAAAGTATCAAAGCACAAAGCGTGGTAAGTATAATGATGGTTAGGCCAAAGGATAGTATTTCCCCTTTCTCTGCCCACAGTTGAACACAGCTTGAAAACACAAGCTGAAGTGATAAAGGAAATGTATACTAAACAAAAAATGTTGATTGTTTGCCTTTGTCTTGTACATAAATGACAGTTGACTTACAAAGTGTCAGTTTTGATTTAAAATGGGTTGGGAAATAATTCATTCCATATAAGTCATAGTATGTTGAAATTATGTAACATACACTCTTCCATACAGAGGTTTAAAACAAATAAAAAAGCAACTATATTTCCGGAGTCACAACATGTAAATCTGTTCAGAGTTATTACTCATGTATCGGAGAGGGTTAATTGTTGTTGTTTTCTACTGGGACATAGAAGTCTGCTTACTGTGGTTGCCCTTTCTGACTATATTTATGATTCATACAAATGAAATTCTCTGTTTTTCTGTAACTTGCAAGAAAAAATCAGTCATGACTAACAAAATCCTTCATCCCCAAGCCTTTCATTGTTGACACAGGAGCATGAATTTATGTAAGCCCTAATGCTAAGTTTCTTCCAGACAGTTGGACTTTGGTGCCTGTTGACTTCAGAAAGACTCCAGGCTGGCGTAGTGACATAGAACATGTAGCAGGTCTGTGGCTTTAATGGCATTTTAGCCATCCTTCGCTCTTACCTTTTTCCTTCAGTATAAGGAGCTGGCTGGAAGAAAAACCAATGTGCTTTCTTCAGTTTACAAAAATATAGAATACCCTACATATTTGCAAAAGGAATTTATAACTGTAATAACCTACTGAAAAGGAAGTTAACATATTTATGAATAATGGAGACCATTAGTAAAAGCATGAATGGCAGAGTTATGCTACTGAAGAGTGCGTACTGGGTTTTCAGTAACAAAGATTGGTAAAATAAGACTAAAGAAAAATACAACAATTGTGCGAAAAATTGCCAAATATTAGTAGACCAGAAAAGAAAAATTGCTGTTAGTGTTTTTCAAACATATCTGAAACTGTGACTAGGATGGTTCTAGTTCAACTGGAAGATAAAAAGGTCATTCGTAAACAAATCCCTCTTAGGCTCAGTTTACACTATGATTTAGGGGTATCATTTCCAGCTCACACAGACATACTTGTTCTAGCTCTCATCTGAACTAGCACTCAATTAGTAGTAGTATGGCTGTAGTAAAATGGAGGGAGGGTTGGCATGGCAGTGGCTGCACACACTAAAGCCAGGTCTACACTACACCCAGAAGGTTGGCTTAAAGTACACAACTCCAGATACATAAATAACATAGCTGGAGCCTACATATCTTAAGCCGAGCTTGCCACCATCTCCACAGTGGGAGTTCAATGGGAGAAATGTTTCCGTTGACTTCTCTGATAGCAAGGAGTACCCGCGCCAACAGGGGTGCCTCAGCATTTGATTTAGCAGGTCTTTACTATATCTGCTAAATTGAACCCTGGAAGCTCAATCACCAGAAAATCGAGGTTTCCAGGATCTTGCAAAAAACGGTTTTTTTCCAACAAATGGCCCCGTCTACACGGGGCTTTTTATCGGCAAAAACCTCTTCCGCAAAAAGAATCGGGAAAAGATGTGCAAATGAAAGCCCGATTTGCATATCCTCTTCCGCAAAAAAACAGCAGTGTAGCCGTGGCCTATGAGGTGGAGCGTTAAGAAGAAAACATTAGATATCATGAGAGCTGCCAACATCATGCCTAAGATCTTCTCCCCCTGAAGTTATCAGGTGTCATTTAGGCAGTAAAGTTGAGGCCCAACATAGCTCACCCCCTGGCCTCAAAGGCTAGAGAAATTTGAAGCCATTTCCTTATCTCTATTATTTCATTGTGGACTTTGATCACATAGTTGTGCTGTGCTGTGTTTTTCTGAAGCACAAAAGCATTGTATTGTAGCACAAATGTTCAATTAGTCGGCCACTCCCTGTCACAGCAAAATACACAATGGTTCCATTTACTGTTCCTCTGCAGGTCTGCCAAGCTTTGGATTTATATAGTAAATTTTACTAAAAACATTGTGTTCCAAAAGGTTTTATACAATCTTGAAGGGGGCAGAGTATCCACTCTCTTTTATTGTTGGTAACCTGTTGTAAAACACAGCAAGCAGAAACATGCAGCATGACAAGCATCTGCATATGTTATAGCATGACCAGAGAAAATACCATCAAATGCTAAATTTGAGATATAACAAATGCTGGTTACATTTATTCAAGATAATTATACCAAAAATGGAGAGAGTTGCAAAATATATTACTTTAATTAACAAGTGGATTCCATATGAGCTAATTTAGAAGTGATAGTTGCCTGAAAGGGATGGAAGATTACGTGCCATGAACATGTGTAGAAAAATTGCAGAAATTAATGGTATGAATCTTTGGTGAGAGAATGTCTCACAACATCATATATCTAGATGAAAACACCAGGAGTCTCTGCATTTCCTTATCAGATTTTATGTTTGCAATAAACAATCTGTTTAATTTTAAAAAAATCAGAAAAAAAATCAAACTGATGTAGAAACATACTAGCTGTAAAGCTCTAAAACCTATTTCTCAAATATTCAAAAGTAAGGGGGAATTGATGACTCAGGGATTGGTAATTGGATATAAAGCTTTTGTTTCTTATGAAAGAATTGTTATCATCTAAGAGTGTTCAGTAGTCTATGTGATATTATTTTAGTGGTTATAGTCCATTTCCCAGTGGACAGGTGACCATATAAAAGTATGCACACATGATTGGCATTCCTAGCTGAGAGGAAGTCTGGAGAGCAAACCATCCTTTTTCCTTTTGGTGATCTTCTCCGATTAGAGATTGAGCATGTTGGTGGGGAAGTTTGTAGTACTGCTAGAGCTTCACTTTTCTGTGACTATTTGTTTGTTATATTCTGAGTATTTTACCCACATAAATTTATGCTCTAATAAATCTGTTAGTTTCTAAGGTGCCACAAGTTTCCTCGTTTTTGCAGATACAGACTACCACAGCGTCCCCTCTGAGACTACTCAGAATATATCAGCCAGCCTGAAACAGCAAGGTACTGACCTCCCATTGAAATTCCTGAGACTAGGTGTCATAATTTAAAACGACAAGTTGAACCTCTCTAGTCCAGCACGCTTAGGACATGACCAGTGCTGAATGAGAGAATTTGCCAAATCATGGGAGATCAATATTTTCACTCCTTACTGGGCTCTTAGAAGACATTTAGGGGTAAATTAGAACTAAATAACAGCACAGAACACTCAGAGCCAGGACTGGTGGCTGTAAACAAACAGTTTGAGACAATAGGAAATTTGGCCACACCCATGATAAGTGGACATCTGGCTAACTAAAATAATTCCAGACTATGGATGTTGCCAGACTAGAGAGGTTCAACCTGTAGAGCAGAGGTGGGCAATAATTTTTGGTGGGGGACCAACTCCAAGATATTGGAAAGTGGTCAAGGGCCGCACTTTGCTGTGGAGGAGGCGCGCGGTCTAGGATGGAGGTTGGGTACAGAAGGGCGCACAGGGTAAGGGACTGGGGTGCAGGAGACAGTGTGAGGTCTGAGAGGGAGTTTGGGTGAAGGAGGGGGTGACCTGGGTCAGGGGATTAGGGTGTAGAGTCAGGGAGAGAGAACTCCAAGATATTGGAAAGTGGTCAAGGGCCGCACTTTGCTGTGGAGGAGGCGCGCGGTCTAGGATGGAGGTTGGGTACAGAAGGGCGCACAGGGTAAGGGACTGGGGTGCAGGAGACAGTGTGAGGTCTGAGAGGGAGTTTGGGTGAAGGAGGGGGTGACCTGGGTCAGGGGATTAGGGTGTAGAGTCAGGGAGAGAGTGGCGGGATGCAGGAGAGGATTCTGGCCTGGGGGAGGGTTGTTAGAGGGGTGCAGGGTCTGGAAGGGAGTTGAGACCTGGGGCAGGAGAGTGCAGAGGGTTTGGACGGTGGCTTGGAGGAGGGAGGAGGGAGTTGGGTGTGGGAGGGGTAGGCAGGCTCTGGCTGGGAGGCACTTACCTAAACCAGAAGCCCTGCAGCACCCCCAAGGCAGGCTGGGTTCCCTGCCTGCCCCAGCCCCAGAGCATTGAAAATGCAGCCTGCTCCCTCCAAGTGGCTCTCAGCTTCAGAAGCAGGTTGTGCTGCCCCCATACTCCAGGCCAATCTCTCAGCTCCTATTGGCAGGCTGTTTCTGGGTCAGAGTGCTGTGCAGTCCAGGTGGTGCTGAATGCTGGATGCTCCCAGCACCACTCCTTCCTTCTGAGGCTCCACCCCTTCTGAGATCACAGAGCTGCCCCCCTCCACCACACACACACCTTGGCCCAGGGCCCAGCAAGGCTGTCAGTTCCCCTGTCTACACGGGCAGAAGAAGAAGTGAGGATACTCTTAAGTTGCAACAGGAGAAATTCTGTAACTGTAGACAGCTGCAGGATTGGGGAGGAGCTAACCTTGCAGGAATGCCCTCTTCTGATTCTGTGCTGAGTTCAGTTGGAATTGTCTCCCACAGACCTTCAAGGGGACTGTTTTATGGAGGATTTGCATATATGTTGTCTCTAGACTTTAAAATTTTGGGTACGTTTTCTTAATACTCTACATCTAGAGCTGCTGAAAAAAAGACAAGACTGTGTGTACTGCCTTCACCTGTGGCTCAGGATGCCTTAAGAAACAAGGAGCCCGGTTCTGTTTTGATCTGCGATGATGTAAGGGAGAAAGTAATGCCAGCCAGGTCAATAGTATTCCACAGGTGTAAAAATCAGTGTCAGAGGGGAAGCAGTCCCGAGATGTTTCATCACATCTTCCCCGGATTTGTTTAAGCAAAATGCATAACCGCACAGGGTTTCATTTTCAGACTTGGTCCCTTATCTCATTAGAGATAATCTAATCTTTGATAACTGTTATCATCTTATTGTTATCAGGACACAGTATACATCACGGAGCTTTAGAAAAGCTGGTGTTTTAATCTACCTACTCATTGGCAAGCACTAACACACAGATCAGTGGTAAACTTATGTGGAATGTAAGCTGACAAGACGAATTTCAGGAACATAGAGATGTGAGCCATTGCCTTTAAAATATGTTACAGTAGGGCAATAACTGTCTTAGAAATGCTTTCCTGAGGCTGATGGTAGGTAGGGGAGAACAATGATAGAAGGGGCTTATGGCCCACCTGAGTGATTCATTTACTCATTCTCTGTGCTTACCTGAGATAGCTAATGGTGGCACCACTAGTAGTTATGCTGGCTAATTTCATCCTTTTTACAGTGAATTTCCCTGAATTGGCTTATAGCAGGGGTGGGGAACCTCAGGTATTTGGCTTGCCTGGATCCTGCCCGTGAAGCTCAGGGCTCCCCCCCACCCCCCAAGGTGACCTGGCTCCGGCACTAAGAAGGCAGGATAAGGTACGTCCTCAAGGTAGGGAGGTGGGTGGGTTCTGGAGTAGCCTAGGGGGTAGGGCAACTGCCTGGGAGTGCTGAGTGCAACAAAATTTGCTAGCCTGGGCCCCACTAGGCTCTAGTGTGCAATGTGAATGTGGGGTCCCAGACAGTGAGGGTTTGGAGAGTTTTTTGTTTGGTTTGCTTCTCACTTGTGTGGTGCCCTGACTGATTTTTCTGTGGGACAGCAGTCCCCGACCCAAAAAAAGTCACCCACCCACAGGGTTATAGGAAGCAAAAATGTGCTAGCAGACATGATTAATTGGATTTACAAGCAGTCTCCTGAGATATAGAGACTTTTCATCTCTTTTCCTTTCATTGCACTGACTACAAAAGTTTCAACCACCACTTTTGTTTTTCCTTCCATCTCTTGATAGTCAAGACACTTTGCAGAATGGATCTTTCAAAATAAAGGTTCTTCTCTATCGATTAACCATTAGTTTGTTCTTAAAATGGCCATCTGTGCTTATTCAAGTGGTTTTTGGAAATAAATTTTATTTCCAGCTTCACAAGAAGATGCTAACGCTATTGATGGAGGTTTTAAATTGACCATTATGTAGCTGTCATGCCTCCTAAATCTGTAAATCTATTAGAGATTACGGACATACTGGGGGGTTTTGAAGCATGAATAGGAAGAGATCCCAACACTATGGTTATACTTGTTTACTTTAAGGCCAGAAGGACACATCATGAGCATTTAGTCTGATGTCCTATGCATCATAGGCAACAGAACCTCAACCACTCCTGTTATCAACCTATAACTTCTGGCTGAGTTATTGAAGTCCTCGAGTCATGATTTAAAGACTTCAACTTACAGAGAATCCACCATTTACTCTAATTCAAACCAGCAAGTGACTCATGCTTATGTTGCAGAGGAAGATGAAAAAACCACAGGGCCTCTGCCAGTCAAAGTGAAAATTCCTTTTAGACCCCAAATAATGTGTTTATTTTGACCTTCAGCATATTAACAAGACCCACCAGTCAGACATCTGGGAAAGAATTCTTAGTTGTAACTCAGAGCCCTCCCTGTCTGATGTCCCATTTCTGGCCACTGAGGATATTTGCTACTGTCAGCTGCAGACTAATTTATTTTGAAAACAGACCAAAAGAGGAGCAGAAATACTGCCCCAATATATAATCGGGGTTACATCTAAAATTAGTCTGCAGTAGCTTAAGAGCTTCTCCATTGATTTCAGTGGAGTTACATTAGAATATAATTGGTGTGAGAAGATAATCAGTTCCATGGTTTACAGTGTGAAAGAAATTCCTCCTGTTTTGTAGTCCTTGTTCACACTTACACCACACCCCAAACTTGATCTGAAAATTATACAACTTACTGTAACCCTCAAGTGGTAGGCTTTCATCTTTTCTTGTTACTAAATCTGTCTCCAGTTTTGTGGGGAGATGCCCACAGCACTTGCTTATGCTAGGATTTTTCTTCTAAAAACTCTCCTTTGTTATCATTGGTGCAGCTCCACAAGTGGGAGTCCTACTATAAGCAAACCCCTGGGGCTGCCAGCATTTTAACCAGTGTTATGTGGATCTGCACTGATCCAGGTTTTAAATAGTGATGCCTTGGCTACACTGCAGCTCCAGTCATTGCTACCAGCCATGGGGCAGCATGAATGTTAGCAATAGTCAGAAAGTTAGACTCCATCTCAATCACTCTTATGGGAGAGCCCTATAGAATTTAGCAGAGGATAAAATAAACATTCTGTGGAAATTTACCAGAACTCACAAATTGTTCTAACTAGCTACAGAACTTGATAGGGAATGCTTAAGATCCTCTCCCCTTCCCCCTTTAACAATTCTATTAAGTTCTATAGCATTTTCTGTTCTCTTCTGAGACTCTGTGATGGGGCGTCCCCGCCCCGTCCCTTCTCCGCTGCCGGCAAAGCGCTGGGCAGCTGCCGCGGTAGGGAGGCTCACCCGTGCGCAGCCTGCTCCCATGCCGCTCGGCCGTTGTCCCAGGCTGACGTCAGGAGGGGCGACGTCAGGGATGCCCCGGGGCGGGCGGAGGGAGCGAGGAAAGGCCCCACCTCCAAGGAAGGAGGCGGGGTGTGTGACGTCCCGGACCGGGAACGTCATGCGGGGACGCCGGCGTTAGGCGAGGCCGGGGCAAGCCGCTGGCATGGCCCCCACCGGGGATAGGACGAACGGGGCGGCAGCGGCCATTTCAAAAGGCCCGCCAGCCCAGCCAGGAGAAAAAGTCCAAGCCCGGGAGAAAGTGGCCAGCCGCGGTCAGGAACTGTCGCTGCTCTGCCAGCAATCCTGTCCACAAAGGGGAAGGTGAGCTCCGTGGTAGGGGGACTTTCGGGGGAAGGGAAGTAGCCCAGGGTGGAACCCGGTGTGGTTGGCGGGTTGGTGCGTTTCGGCGGCACGCCCCACTGACCGGACCGGATCCTTCACAGATCCAAGTCCTTAAGGCCCTGGGCTGGAGCCCATGAGCAAGGGCGGGTCCGGGCCCCCCTACCTCCTCCACAGTATCCCTTGTCGCCGTAACGAGGGTGTCGCGGTGGCGCTATAAGCGGGGAATAGAAGGTCGAGGCTGATT